CTGAACCAGGACAGCAGTTTTGCCCACTTTCTCTCATTCCTGACTCTTCCCAGTGCTCCTGGTTTTAGAGGCAGTGAAGATGGCGGCTGGGAGTTGTCTCCTGCCTTCTGCTGCCCTCTGGGGGTACCTGGAATGCAGATTTATGGCTTGGTTGTCGCTTAAGGTAGATGAGAGCTCAGGTTTTCTTCCTTGGGAGAATGTGATGTTCTCACCCAGTGCCGGTGCATCCGGATGCCATCATCCTAGATCACTCTCTCACTTGATCTCCATGGCAAGAACAGGAAACACCCTGGAAGTCTCTTTATCCTGATCTTGGCCGAGATTGTGCAAGCATCCTTGTTACTGTGATCACCAGAGGTATTTCAGCCTCTGGGCTTTGTATAGATCAAAAGCATGTGGGAGCTCACTGGGGAGGGTTCCTCTTCCTTCCATTCAATAATCTATTCAATAAATACTTGTAACACTTCATGCCAGACTATGCTATGCTACCCAACAGAGCTCTCTCCTCTATGGGAGATAATGCTCCATCCTCCACCTTTGCCCAGACAGCTTGTTGGGCTAAGAGCCCTACTTGGGGTATAAAATGTTTGGTTCCTCCAGGGACTGTTTCACCAAACTGGGGCACTGTCTTCAGGTGAAGGCAAGTGATGGAACTGTTCCAGGTGTTTGAAGAAGCAACACAAACTCCACTGGGGAAGATGGTGACTTCTGATCAGCTTTGACTAAATAATGAATCCACCCATCAGCAGCACACTGTCGTGGTCTGAATGTCTCATTAAGCAGCCTAAATTGCACGCCTTCCCCCCCTTCAGCTATGACTGGGCGTGCGGTCAATGCACTGAGCTGTCTGTGCTGCTCTAAACCAATGGTCTTGCTCATTTGGGTTCACAGAAATGGTGCTGAATGCCGCTGGCCTGCTATATTTTGTTGCTGCACCATGAAGTGGCATTCTCCTCACCATACCTCATTTCCACTGCCACTGGCGCTGCTTTGCTGGCACTCCAGGAAGCTCTTGTGGAAGAGGCGAATAAAAGGAATAACTGCAGGGGCTTCTTTTGAAGCAGCTGGGCATTGCACAGGTGTGCTTCACTTGGTGTTTGCACAGCTGGATCAGCCACATGCTGCAAACTACCTTGAAGGGCATGTGTGGGTGCTGGGCATTGGGTGGAGAGCCAGACTCCCAGGAGGAAGAAATGCTTTCCAAATCCTGCAGAGCCCATGACTATATGATTGCTTTAATCCAGTCTGAATCTGTGCTCTGAAAGGGCTCTAGCATCTTCTGTTTACTGGTTCTTGTGCAGGTGAGATGAGCTTGATCTGGCCAAGCTGGTGAACACAGTCACGAGCAGAGCTGGCTCCTGGCAGGATGTGCCTCTCTCTGGTCACCATCCTGCTGCGAGGGGCTGGTGCCCGTGCCCTGTGGAGCTCCCACCCCACCGTTCCTGGATTTCAATGCTTGTCTCTCTGTTGCAGAGAGCTGTCACCTGGCCTCCACTCTGTCCCCAGAAAGTTGTGGTGTGCCCTGCTCTCGTGTGATGGGAGGTGAGCAGGGGCTGCTTAGCACACACTGGACCCAGTGCAGGTTCCTCGTGTCAGGCGAGCCCAACCCTCCTAATCTGAGAGCTGAGAGCCAGCCTGGGCGACTCCCATTCCCCACCCTCCCTCTGTTTGTTTTGGAGGGCTTTAACAACAGGAGCCGTGATTTTGTACTGG